TTTCTGTGGTACTGACTTAAGCAGAAACAAAATAATTTTTTACTATTATCTGGAAGGTTTTATTCAATTTTGAAGGATAGGTTTGTTGGATATAGCAATCTTGGTTGCCAGTTATTTTTAAAAAATTATTATTATTATTTTCAAACAATACCTTTATTTTATTGTTTATTTATTTTTATGTGATGCTGAGGATAGAACCCAGGGCCTCGTACGTGCTGGGCGAAYGTGCTACCACTGAGCCACAACCCCAGTCTGACGGTTATTTTCTTTTAAGACTTAGAACATATCATGACAAGCCCTCCTGGATTTTAGAGTTTGTGCTGAGAAGTTTCAGGTATTTTGATTGCCTTTCCTCTAAATGTGACTTGATGTTTTTTCTTGAGGCTTTTATAATTCTATCCTTGTTTTGTATGTTAGTCACTTTAATTATGTTTGATGTGTCATAGAGAGGTTCTGTCATAGAGAGGTTCTTTTTTGATCTTGTGTATTTGGGGTTCTGAATGCCTCCTGTTTTTGGATGTCCATCTTAGTATCAATGTCTTGRAATTTTCTGTTACTATTTCTCTAAAAACTTATCCATTCCATTAGCCTGCATCTCACTATCCTCCTCAATCTCAGTGATTCTTAAATTTGGTCTCTTAATGTTATCCTCGAGTTCTTATATACTCTGATCATGGTTATTTATTTTCTTTTCGTTAATGCTGTCTAAATATTTGAGACTGGTCATTATGTCTTCTAGCTCTGAGATTCTGTCTTCAGAATTAGAGAGTCTTTCAGTTGAACATTTTATTTGATTTATTGTGTCTTTCATTTCTAAGATTTGTTTTGTTCTTTTTCAAAAACTCCATCTCCTTATTGAATTTCTTATTCACATACTGTACTCACTTCTGTAATTCATTCAGTTGTTTTTCTGTTCTCTTGGAATTCATCGGTCATTTTTATAATCATTGTTTTGGATTCTTTTTTTTTTTTTTAAGAGAGAGTGAGAGAGGAGAGAGAATTTTTTTTTTTAATATTTATTTTTTAGTTCTCGGCGGACACAACATCTTTGTTGGTATGTGGTGCTGAGGATCGAACCCGGGTCGCACGCATGCCAGGCGAGCGCGCTACCACTGAGCCACATCTCCAGCCCTGTTTTGGATTCTTTATCTGATATTTCTATACTTCAGTATCTTTGCAGTCAATTGCTGGTGAACTTTAGGAGGCATCATGTTACCTTGTTTTTTCATATTTTTTGCATTGCTGTTTGAGTTGCAAGCATCTGTTAGAATGAATTTCTCTCCCATTTTTATCTGTGAATTTTTTAGGGCATGGCCTTCTGTTGCCAAAATGTCCTAGAGGGGTTTAGATTGAGGGTCCAGACTTAATAACTCTGTATGTTAATGGCATGGGAGCAATCCAGATTAAGACCCTTGGTCGGTGTGGTACCCAAGCCTTTGTGTTGATTCTGTTTTTGCTGTGGTAGTGGATATCCCTGAGTCCTGAGGGCCCATCCCTAGCTAGTCCTGCTTGGTACTTGTTCATTAGTTTGGGTTTTTATCTTTGAATTAATGTATAGCTGTAGATCAAGTGTCATTTGTGTGTGGAGTGAGGTGTGCTGTCTTTTTGCTGGGTTTAGTTCAGCAAGTCTCTAACCTGTGACTTTGTAGTGTCCCTGTGAATTTCACACAGAAAGGGTGGGAAACAATATCTACAACTGACACAAATGATACATAACCTTAAAATAAAAACTTGGTGCCTACTCTGACATGTGTAACACTACCACAAAACGGGAGTGGTCATTTATACAGCAAAAATGTATAAATAACTGTGAGCTAGATCTGCATGAAAGTAAACAGCAGGTATTACCTGTGTCATCCAGAACAGCAATAATCGCAACACTATGAATGGTGGGGGTAGGAGTTATATAAACCAAATAGTTGTAAAAGATGGTAAAAATACAGTTCTGTTCAATAAAGAAAGTGTGCCAGCAGGTGGCATGTCTGTAGTATCAGGGGCTTGGGAGGCAGGGGCAGGAGGATCACACGTTTACAGCTGGCCTCAGCAACTGTATGTGGCTCGGTGGCTGTGCGCCCCTGGGTTCAATCCCTGGTACAAAAGAAAGAAAGGAAAAAGAAAAAGTGACAGGAAGGCAGAAAAGAGTTGAAACGGTGAACAGAGAGAATGCAGAAAATATGTCTCAAGTGATGGCTATAAAGGAGGAGGAGAAAAAACAGGATAAACAGAGTGAAGGGGGAGGATGGAGAGAGCAAGAGAATTTGGCTATTAGCAGAAGAAAGGGGGGGAAGAGGGAAACAAACTAAATACCCTGAYCCTCAAAGGGTGCGGCAGGAGCAATAACTTGTAAAAATGCTAAAAGCGAGAAGAAGGGAGAAACGTGTGTATGGACACGTGTCCGTGTCTGCACAGCCGGGACACCCAAGAGCGCCGGGGCTCTTCTGGGGGTGTCAGTGCTGGATTAAGTCAGCACACCAGGGGGCCTGGCAGGTACTGGTCGCTGCGGGAGTCTGTTACATGCAGACCATATTAGGATATATCTGCCAAGACTCTTAGAAGCTTGTTTGTGTCACCCTATGGGATTATTCTATCAGAATATTTTTAATTTTTGTAGTACTTCTCCTGAAAATATTTTTACTCTTTTCACAATATCTTTATTATTTTTTGGCAGAGAGAGAGAGAGAGAGAGAGAGAGAGAGAGAGAGAGAGAGAGAATTTTAATATTTTTTTTTTTTTTCTCGGCAGACACAACATCTTTGTATGTGGTGCTGAGGATCGAACCCGGGCCGCACGCATGCCAGGTGAGCGCGCTACCGCTGAGCCACATCCCCAGCCCTCACACTGGTATTTATACTCATATTTATAGCCGAGTAGACGGAAAGCAGCACTTAGCAGTGTCCAGGTACAGAAAGCAGAACAGAGAGGGAATGAAGGAAAACTGCCTACCTGGATGAGAGTTTACACAGTGTCAAGGCAATTTCAGTCAGAAATAACGAACCCAACCTGAGGAGGCATAGTGAAAAGGGATTTCCTCTCTGTGTCACTGGAAGGCCATGCCTCTTCAGGCACACTCCTTGGCCATCTGTCTTCTGCCACTGCCCAGTCTGTGCCTGTGAAGTGTGGGGTGGTGGGGAGGGGAAGGGTTTACAAGAGTCTTCCCTTAGTCTAATTGGTTTAGCTTGCGTGTCTACCCCAGACCAGAATCACCAATCATGACAATGCTATGTCCTAAATTAGTTTAAGACTAATCTTCCAACTAAACTTGAAAAGGAAATGGCATTTCACATCTGGTGTTGGGTTCAATTAACCAATCCACATTCTACTACATAATGCATGAGGGCAAAAATGTTCACTCTACATTAACTGTTCATGGTATAGTGTAAAAGGAAAAGTTTCAGATGCCTAAAAAGTTAGGTTAGAAAAAAAAAAGGTTGGAATCAGAATCAGTACCCAACTGTACTGTACTGCTAAGTACAGAAGGGGAGGGGGGATTGGCAACTGGTCTGCAATGTTGGGCTTATTTTCTACTGTGCCTCAAAGGAGGCTAAGGCAGGAGGATTCCAAGTTTGAGGTCAGCCTTAGCCACTTAGTGAGACCTGTCTTAAAATAAAAAATAAAGTTTATTTATTTTTTTAAGTACTTATGTATTTTTATGTGGTGCTGAGGATCGAACCCAGGGCCTTGCATGTGCTAGGCAAGCGTTCTACCACTGAGCCATAACCCCAGCCCTAAAAAATAGTTTCAAGCTGGTGAATTCTGAAAGGGGGCAAAAAGAAAAAACTGGCAATATTTAGGGCAACATTTTTGTTTTTCAACAGAGAATGAAAGGACACCTGTGCATATGTGAAGACAGGAAAAATCCTTTTTTTTAAAGAGAGAAGAGACAGAGAGAATTTTTTAATATTTATTTTTCAGTTTTCRGTGGACACACATCTTTGTTTGTATGTGGTGCTGAGGATCGAACCCGGGCCGCACGCATGCCAGGCGAGCGCACTACTGCTTGAGCCACATCCCCAGCCCAAGACAGGAAAAATCTTAGTGAAGGAAATCATCAACAGAGGAGACAAGACAGGTTCCAGAGGTCACTAAAGACAACGTGACAGGAGAAGATGGAAGGCAGTGTGATGGTCAGAGATGACGCAGGTGCTTCACTGCAATGGTTTCTTTTCTCAAAGAGCAACGTGGAGAATCACCTGATGAGTGTGCACACTGGGAGCCACTCTCCCTCTCCACTTCCCAGGCTGGGACCCTTTCCTGTTCAGCTATTCTAGGGACATGACTAGTATTTTTGCTAGAAACATTTCTCACCTCAATGCTGGGATGTAGCATCAGTTTTTAAGCAAGGAAAAAAGCCTGAAGGCTGTAGGCCTGGTCTAGTAACCCTGCTGTGTGAACGGCAGGAGGGAACACACTTGAAATTCACCCTCCTGCCTTCCCCTTTKCGTTCAGCCAGTGTTACCTCACCTTCTTCTCACAGTGAAAGCTGAGACCTATTCTGTTGGCAGAGTCAACAGATACAACCTGGGAAAGCGTCACAAAGGGCAAAAACCTGGCATACCATTTTGGCACCAGCTCCTCTACCCSACTCCAACTCAACAAGTGATAAAATACAAGCAGCAGTGGAGCAAAATGTGGATTCTGCCAGGAACTGCAAACTCAAAATGCTGCTTTAATTTTGAGGGTGACAATTACCCACACAAGTACATAGTTTTGTTGCTACTCTATTTTAGCAGAACCCCAAATATGGTCAGTTCAAGTTATTGCTCCTCCCTGTGCTATTTTCACGACACAGTGGGGGAGCTGCCACAAGGATCCAATGCACAAAAGCAGAGCACCCAGGATAGCTCTTACAGGATCCACTCCTGTCTCAGCCTCAAACACTCCTGAAATCCCTGAGGCTGCCCACTGGCTATCACCACCACCACGCCCAAGTACCACTGAATATCTGCCTTACTCCAATGCAAGTGTAGGGTAAATGCTAATTTCTTAGAGTATAGTGAAGACAAAAATGGAGTTTCTCACAACAAATGTTTATTTAAGAATTAAGGGGAAACAAAAACAGTAAGCATAGGAATACATTGACTGAATACAATTTATCTCATTTGGTCTGAAATCTTGAAAAAGTCACTCTAACTACTTACCTGAGGTAGATTTAGGTTGGCACTGCTTCAAGGGAACCTCCATCCATCCCAAAAGTGACCTTCTGGTTTTGGTTACAGGCTCCCAAGTGGTCCTCTCCAACCTCAGGTTTTGCTCTATGAATAACACCAATGCCTTTCCCCCATGGCTAAACCCTCAGACCTGTTCCACACCCCAAATTCTCCACTGGAAGGATGGCCCATGGTTCATTTAAGGACTAGAGAAATTACCARTAAGATTAGTTGAGAGAAGGGGCAAGGTACTGCCCTGCTAATGACACCAACTCTGTCCCTTCTCCAAGGTCTAATAATTAATAAGCAGTCATAAGGACGCATTTTTTTCACTGCCATGCCATACACCCCATACTACCAAGTATTACAATTGTCATACTAGTGACAGGCATGACTCTCCTCAAAGAGAAAGAAAAAAATACATCTTGTATGTTTATCACACTGGGCAACTTTTCATGATATAAGAGCTACCGGTAAACATTGTTGAAACATGTAAAAACAAATAAAACTTAGAGGATGTTTTCTAAAAGACAAAAGTCCTAGAATCAGATGCTTTGTTACCATTAGGAGTTAGAGCCACCGACCCTACAACTATGGTGATCATTGGCCCGCCATCAGGAGCAAGGCTTACAGTTGCATACAAGGCAGCCGCGGGCCTACTCCACGAATCCAGTGCCAATACCCTCTGGAGTTCAGGGGTCCGCTAAGAAAACCAAAAACAAAGGACTCTAACCACCTACCTGCCTGCAGAGTCCCAAATACTGTAGGAATTTGAAAGTAACTATCTTAAATATTTTTTTTTAATCTGATGGGAGGAAAAAAGCTGAGAAGTGACMATTTTTAGATCCTCAGATAATAGTATTTCTACAGACCGTTAAAGATAACTATTACCCTGTTAAATGGGAAACGGTATTTATTCTTAAACTTCCCGTGGATCCAACAACTACTTATTCCCTTATAGCATTTAGAATCCTGCATTCCAAGCCTATATATATATGTGTGTGTATATATATACACACACCTTATATTGTGATGACTGCAATCCTTTCCCTGGGATTAAAATGTATTTTTCTCTTCCCTTGGAAGAACTGAAATAAACGAAAAGATGTATCATTATGAGGCCTGATTTGCTATAAACAGCAAGACAGTGGAGAGAAAAGAAAACCAGCTGTGGAGTCAGGATACTCCAAGTGAAAACAGTCTTGGTCCTCCACTGACAAATATCACTAGGAGTCTTTTACTCTGTGCTCGCTCAGATGTCACCGTCCTTCCAGCCTTCCCCTGGCCATTCAGCCAGGAACCGAATGACGGGATCTATGCCCTATCAGTGAAAGGAACAATAAGTYAGGCCAAAAAATATAGACACTGACCACATCACAACCATTATCCTGGAATCTACATTTTGAGTTGCAAAGAGATGAATTTCTAAATTTGAAAATTTAAATACTAATGATAACCCAGAAGACATTTTAGGGAAAAGAGAAATTCGGAAGGTGTGCCTCAATATACACTACAGCTGAGTACTCTGCTTTTTTATGAGGCTGATCCTGCAAAGGGGAAACTATTGGGAGTCTTTTAATTTAGGATAACTACTTCCTAGCTTCTTGGAGCTTCTCACAGCCAGTTAAGGGTTCCTATGTCACTATCAAAACACTAGTCCCATYCTAGCCAACGATGAAAAAAAAAGGAGTAAAAAAAAATATATCAATATTTTCCTTCCCCCCAAGAGTAACACATGCCACATCTTCTATTACAAGGTTACAGTCCTTTCCTTTATTGAATTTCTGAATTTTAAAAAGTGAAAATAAAGCAATCATTAAGTGGTTCAGATAAAAGAAAAAGCATCTTTTCCTGAGTTACCCAACAGGTCTACTCTGACCCGCCCCAGCTTTCCCCAGAACAAGCTTCTGGGTATCTAAAAAAATGATTTCCTTACTGACTCCACTTAAAGTTCTACCCCATGGGTCAACTAAATTTAAGACCAGTTCTTACATGTACTATATATACACAGATTCTCACCCACAATTTATAATCAGACCTCTCAATGAGGCAAGCTTCTCTGCAAAATGGGTTCTTTGGGCCCAATAAAATAGGAGCTACTAGCAAGGCTTTTCCAGACTCAAGGTATTTATGTGAGCGCCTTGATATACCACAAGAGCTGATCACTGACAAGCTTTTTCTCATTCAGACACTTATCTTTCCTCAGATTTTTTTTCTATTTTCTTTTTTTGCCATACTCAAGACAAATATATAATTTTTCACCAGTATGCCTTCTCTGATGGGTAAGAAAGTCAGAGTTCTGTTAGAAGCCTTTCCACACTTGCTGGGGCTTCTCCCCAGGTGGGTTTTCTGGTGTCCAACGAGATGTACATACTGTCTGAAGCTCTGCTGACACTGAAGGCATTTATTAAGAAGCTGTTTTCTGGTGTGAATTCCCTTACAATGAGGAGGGCTGGGTACTGCAAGAAAGCTTGTATATGCAGTGCATGTTTCCTACCTGTGCAAACCCTGTAGGTGATCAAGCTCAGACTAAGGGTTTTCCTAAACTCAGGGCACCTGTGGAGTTTCTCACTGGAGTGGCTGTTAGGGCAGCTCTTCTGGGTGAAGTATTCCTCATGCTTCCTACAATTGCAGGCTCTCTGGTCCCCACTGAAGTTTGCACTCTGGGCCAAGTCTGAGATTCACCTAGATTCATCCTAATGAGCTCTGATCTGTAATTAAATTTTTCATGGTATCATAACTTCTTCCCTGGTCAGGACATTTGTGAGGCTTCTGATGCATGAGCGGGGCTGAGCTCAAGAGCTTTGTCACCCACATTACAGATATATGGTTTTTCACCAATATGATGTTGGAGAAGGGCTGAGCTCTGGTGAAAGCTTTTATCACACACACTGTACTTATAATGTAGCTCCTCCGTCTGAGTTCTCATTTTCTGTTGGGCAACAAAGTCCATACCTAACAGGAAGCCACTCTCACATGTAGACCACTGATGTGGTTTCTCTTCCACATGAATTCTCTGATGCACAATAAGGTCTGAGCTACAGCTGAAGCCTTTCTCATACTCAAGACATTTAAAAGTATGAGTGTGAGTTGCCTGGTGTCTAATGAGGTTGGCACTGCGAGTAAAACTCCTCATGCATTCCAAGCATTTATAGGGCTTCTCACCTGTGTGGACTCTCTGATGCACAATAAGGTCTGATTTCTGGCCAAAGCATTTCTCACAGGCACCACACTTATAGGGTTTCTCCCCAGTGTGAACTCTTTTATGTACAATGAAGGCTGAACGGTGTCGGTAACTCTTCTCACACTTGTTACACTTGTAGGGCCTTTCACCAGTATGTGTTCTCTGGTGGCTAATAAGGTCTGATTTCCCACTGAAGGCTTTTTCACACTCCAGACACTTAAATGGCTTCTCACCTGTGTGGGTTCTTCGGTGCCTTATTAGGTTGGTACTTCGACTAAAGCACTTATCACACTCACTACAAAGATACGGTTTCTCGCCTGTATGACTTCGCTGGTGAACAAGCAGATCAGAGCTCTGACCAAAATTCTTGCCACAGATGTCACATGTATAGAATTTTTTACCTGCATGTGTTCTCTGGTGTCCTGAAAGGGCCAAGTGGTGCCAAAAGCTCTTCTCACATTTGCTGCATTTATAAGGTTTCTCATAATTGTGGATCCTCTGGTGGGAAATAAGATCTGAGCTCTGGATGAAGGTTTTCTCACACATATCACATCTGTAAGGTTTCTCCCCAGTGTGGGTTCTCTCACACATAATAAGAGCTAAGTTTTCACAGAAGTCTCGTTCACGTTCAAGGCACTCGTATATTTGATTATCTACTGGAGTAATCTGATGCACATGAATAAAAATCTTTTTACCCTTTTGAGGGTATACATGATATACTTTCCTTTTCTGAGTTCTCTGATCCCATCTTTCTTCTGAAGTGTACATTTTCTATGGCTCTCTCCTAGGGAGTCTTCCACTGGTCTTCTTGACCCATCTTTGTCTTCTTAGTCATTCTGTTTTTAAGAACTTGGAAGGTTCATCTATGTTAAGCCTTTCAGTCATGAGCAATTTGCCTTTCCAAGTTTCCAGAATCATATACATGAATTTCTTACTTGGTATTTCTAAACCTGTAAGACAAGGTAGAAATAACATTTAAATTCCTACATTAAGAATCCTTAAAATTAAAATCACTACAGAAGAGATCGAAATCCTGCATCAGAATCTGTAAGTCTTTTATGTTTTGCATGGACTGAGTATCCTTTATCCAAAATGCTTGGAAACAGAGTGTTTTAGATTTTGGATATTTTCAGAATTTGGAATATCTGCATGCATATAATGAGAAGTCTTTTTTTTTTTTTTTTTTAAAGAGAGGGGGGGGGGACAGAGAGAGAGAGAGAATTTTAACATTTATTTATTTTTCTTAGTTCTCGGCGGACACAACATCTTTGTTTTTTGTATGTGGTGCTGAGGATCGAACCCGGGCCACACGCACGCTAGGCGAGCGCGCTACCGCTTGAGCCACATCCCCAGCCCATAATGAGAAGTCTTGAGGGTGGCACCAAAGTCTTAACACAAAATTCATTTGTTTGGTATATATTTTATACACGTAATCTAAAGGCAATTTTATACAATATTTTTAATAATTTTGTACATGGAACACAAAGTTTCACTGTGAATTTTCATGGCATCATACTGGCACCCAACAAGTTTCAGATTCTGGAGCATTTCAGATTTAGGAGCTTCTGATTAGGAATGCTCAATCTGTACTTGGTTTTCCTCTCTGCTAATATAAAAATGAGACATACATATGAGAAACCACCAATAAAAGCTCTTTATATGAACCTGGGTGATCTCAAAACCAGGGTTTTTCTTTTCATTGCTTCAGAGGAAAGATTAAGATGACTCTAATAACATTAATAGGCATGTTCAGTAGAGGAAGAAAGCAAAGCAGAGGGGAGAATCTTCTGTGTCCTTCCCATTTACTCCCTCATGACCTCTGATGTCTGACCCCCGCCGTACACACTGGCATGGCCATCCTTCATCTAAGCAGTGTAAGCTGAAGATTTTGGTTTTACTAAGAAAGCGGAAGCAAAATGAAAATAGTGAGAGACACACACACACACACACACATAAACACAGAGGCACACAACTTTGCAGGCTCCCAACACTTCAGCCAGCCTGTCACCTGTCAAGCACCCCACCATCCCTTAGCCACGCAATCCAYGGTCAACCTTGCCCCTGGTGCTGGACTCCACCCGCTTTTCCACAAGGATGTTGCTCTACCCTCCTCCTGCATTCTCGTTYTCTCTCTCTCTCTACTGGATCATTCTAATTAGCAAACTGGCAGGTATCTCTCTTCTGAACAACAAAAGCACAACCAACAAGACAACTTCTTTCAACCCCCTCACCCTCAAGCTATTGTCCCATTTCTCTGTTACTCTTTACATAAAACTCCTCAAAAGAAATCAGTCTGTTGTCTCCATTTCTTGTCTTCCAAGGCTTCTGGAACATACCCTAACCAGACACCTTCACCACTCCCCTAGAACTGCCCATTAGAAACCTACAAGCCCCAGAGAAGTCTGCCTGAGGTCACCACTGTGACTGGGTTCTCTGCTCTTCAGATACTCTGAGTCGGATCCTCTCTAGTTTCAGGGTCTGCGTACTTGCCGTCCCTCCCTGGATGAAGGGCTCTCCCTCYGGGTCTCATCAATGTTTTCTCTCTAACCTCCCTCCCATCTTTGCACAACTGTCACATTCTCAGGCGGCCATTTCTGACCATCCTATTTTAAATTATAACACATCTCCACTGCAGCTGACCCATACGAACAACACCCCTTCTCTCYTGTTTTGCTCTTCTCCACAGAAGGTTAAGTAAGCTTCTAAGGGACAGGAATTTGTTTTATGTCTGTTTTGTGCACTGCAGTTTCCCTGGCACCTGTGACAGTGCCTGGCACATACAGATAGATATTCCAGCTTGGAATGGAAGCTCTTATTTGGCATCCGTGGAGGGTCTTAGATAACCCATAAAACCTTTAACTGATGTGTAACAAAATGCTGTTCAGAATCTGTCCATTATTCTGGGGAGAGAGTCCTCAGTTCATCAGAAAGGGCCCTTAACTACAAAACTGATATTGGACTGGAGCTTAAACATTCATAGAAGATAGTAAGTCATAGGACCTAGAATCCTCACACATTGTGTTACCTCTTGGTAATGTGATGATGGGTGGCTTTGTCCTTCACCAATTTGCTTAACTACTGTTTTGTAATCTTCACTCAGCAACCTGTATGCTTTCCTCATGCAAAGCACAGAGACTACTCTTGCAATAAGAAAAGTTATTTACAGATATAAAAAGACATATCCAGCCTTCAAATGCCAATTCAGAATGTTCTAAAATTTAGTTATAGAGGATAGAAGTAAGAACCGAATGGGTTGAGAGTAGTGAAATTTCTTCAGTTAAGACATACAGATTCATAAGAAATACAGAACTGTGACCAAAGAGGGACAGAGAGGAAAGTGTCTAGAAGGCTAACAAGAATCAGGAAGTCCAACAGCTGAGAAAGAAAGTAAACAATATAGCCATGCTAGTGCTAATAAACAAAGTGGCTACATCTCACATTTCAAGTATTTAACATGTCTCTATACACTGCTGCACCGTACCATATATACCTTTTTTGGTGCAAATTATATCATTCAGGGATCCTCATGGTATTATAGAAGAACCCCTTAAACTACAAAACCATTTGTAGTACTTCACTCTCTCCTCATTTGGTAATGGGTATCCTAGGAAATCCATGTATACAACTTGACCCATCACATGAACCCATGAGCTTATAAAATATCATTAAAATTAGCATGTTTCTGCCCCTATCAGACAATGAATACTTTTCTGTGCATTTATTATCAAGATGATGAGTCAGTTTGCCGTGTTTCATGCGCATGGGTCTGAGTCTCAGGGATTACTATAATGGCAGGTATCTATGAAAAACACTGCATTGCTCATCTATGCACCAAGGACCTCTTAGTTTACGGTTAGTAGGAAAATTGCTAACAACAGTATACAAAGTATTAAGCCCCAGAGCATACTTTGTCCCTGCCATAGTAAATCCTCAAAGTCAAAAGTATCAGAACATTATTCATTATTCCTATTATTAAATTAAGTTTACAGAGCTAAATGCCTAGGATCTATTCGTGCCTTACACAGCCTGTTTTGGTTTGAATATATGGTGTTCCCCAAAAGCTCATGATTGGGTGGTAACTGTTGGCATGTAAGGTGTACTGGAGGAGGGAGGGAGGTTGGTCACTGGGGGTGCACCTGGTGTTTCACATTTTGTCCATGCACAGAGCTCTTTGCTTCCTTGGGAAGCCATGTCCCATGGTGCTTTCCTTTGCCATGCACTTCTCCTAGGATCTGCCTCACCCTGGACTCAGAGCTATAGAGTTGGCTGTCTGCACACTGAGACCTCTGAAACTGTGAGAAAAATAAACTTTTCCTCCTCTAATTATTCTTGCAGGTCTTTGGGTCACAGCAACAAAAAAGCTGACTGAAACAAGTCAAAGGAAGCCATTAAAGGACCTACACTGATACTAAGGTCAACTCCAACCAACACCTGTCTCATTTCAGTTCATAGAAAATCCATCCTTTATTTTCTCAAGTCAAAATCTTGAAGTCTTCCTGCATTCTTTTCCTTCACACCCTATAATCAAGTCATCAACAAATCTGGTGGCTCCATTTCAAAACACATGAATCTAGGAATTCAGTCACTCCTCATCACTTTTGCTACTATTATCCTGGCCCCAACCACTCTCATTTCTCACACGGACTATCACAGTAACCTCCTAATTGGTTCTCATCTATTATGGCTGAACTGTGTGTTGCCTCTCAAATTCACATATTGAAGATTTAACCCCTACTATTTTTAGAAAGTAACTATGTTTAAAGACAGGGTCTTCAGAAGGGTCTTAAAATGAGGACATCAGGTGGCCCTAGTCCAATGTGACTAGTGTCCTTCTAAGAAGARTTTAGGATACACAGCTACCAAGGATACACACCCAGAGAGTGCAGGCAACACGAGGACACAGCGAGACATGGCCATCAGTGGGTCAAGGAGAGAGATCGAGGAGCCTCAAGAGGAAAAAGGTGGTGTTAGAGGAAGGATGCACTTGCCAGCAGTTCCTCAGAGCCAGACTTACTCAGGGAGGCGAGTAACTAAGGCCACATGGAGAAACTTTAACCACAGAGCACAGAAAGTCAGAGCAATATAAAAAAATGTGAGCTATGTGCCCACTGCCTGCAGAGGTACAGTGCCACTGAGGGGAGGGGAAAAAAAAAAGGTTGGGGAAACCTGTGGATCACAGAGGGAGGCTGATGTTTATGGACACAGCTGGTGGGGGAAGTGGCTCAGTGAAAAGCTACAAAAAACGGCACGGCCCACAGTTCAGAGGGAATCAAGATCACTGGCCTGGAAACGACCTCAGGCGTGGCCTGGGAGCTATCTGTAAATGCTGTACCACTGTAAGCAGGGTCAGAAGTTTGGTAACAGGGATTCACCTTTTGGGTCCCCTTCTTCCTGGTGTGGGGGGTGGGGTGTCTTTTCTGCTATCCTTTAATAAAGTTTTTCACTTTCCTCTTAAAAAGAAGACTGGGAACAAAGGAAGTTGCCATGACCTCCAGAGCGTGCCTGAGCCAGAGTGAATGAAACAGGCACAAAGAAAACTGCCTCRCACAGGCTCCCCATACCAGACTAGAAAGTGTCTTGGTTGCTGGTGCACTGTAGGAGCTACTGGGAAGACACTGACARTGGCCACACAGGAGCTCTGCACTCCAGGGCAGATTCCTAGTAATTCACTTCCACAGTGGTGAACTGGAAACCTGTGAGATTCCACCAGAGGCCCTAGAGATCCAGAGGTCCAGCAGAGATAGCACGTCCCCAGTAACAGGGGGCCTGGATCACATCTCCAATACTGACTTCCAAAGGTCAGCCAAGACTAAAACCCCAGCTACTGGGACTTCCAATCAGAACTCGGCACCATCCCTGCTACAGCAGCCCATGGTCGCCAGCACTCCCCAGTCTACCCACCCCTGCTGGACGTAGGGAGCCACTACACTGGCTGGCAGTTAGGTGAGGA